CAGCAACAAAACTCCACCTTTTCTTGCTCGGATCATAAACCTCAACTGAGCGTAGTGTCCTCTGATCCATAAGTCTCATTCTTCCTCATACTTTCTCAAGCTTTGAAACTTATTAAATCAATCTGTTTCGAGAATCATGATATATAAGGAATCTACGAAGGTGGCAGAAGCTTCATCATCACTGCCGTACTTGTGAGAGAAGTAGACGTTGTCGAGAATCAAGTCAACAGAGAAGTGTTGAGAGAGGAAATACTCTGGTGTAGATCATGGTTTCTCTTTGGCCAATTTTTTATAATTGATTTTAGGTCTTTCCAAATAACTAGTATAAAGCTGTGAGTTTTGTTACGATAGTTTTCAGTGAAAATGATTAAAATTTTGCTTCAAATCCTATTCATAGTTTTTTTGTTTTCAAAATTGTTTGTCTTTCAATAACAGTGGATTTTATTAAGCTTTTACAAATTGTTAGTTGAATAACAGTGAATTGTAAATGATTTATGGTGACTTTAGACAAATGTCATATTCAATAACAGAGAATTTGGAAAAAAATATTAGAAATCATCAGTTGAATAACATGGGATTTTTTTTTTTAAAAAAAAAACACTTTAAAATCCACAATTCAATACACCCCTCTTTATACATTTAGTCAAATCTGGGCAATTCCCTAATTTAGATCCCATATGGGTATATTTCACCTAATTACCCTAAAATAAAGTGAATTATGTGAATTTGTACATCACCATTATTACCTAAATCTTGAAACTGCAAGAAGTTTAGATCCCATGTGGGTATATTTCACCTAATTACCCTAAAATAAAATGAATTCTGTGAATTTGTACGTCATCATCATTAGCTAAATCTTGAAACTGCAAGAAGTTTGTTACAATATTTTCCCATGCCAGTTTCTTTTTCTTCAACTACTTTTTCTATCTATTTAGGGAAGTACTAGTACAAAACTCTGATAAAGTTATTTTCTTACAGAGCATTTCGTCACTTTGTTGATAGTATTTCCTTCACATTTATTTCTGTTTAACTTTATTACTCTTTTTGTTCAGCTGATTACTCATGAACATGTTTTTGTAACATTCACTCAACCATACAAGTATGCAAAACCATGTCCATGCAAATCAGTATAACATGCGTACTTAGAGGTATAAGCTTTGTATATGAATTTGTACTTTATGGCAAGCTATTGTTTTATGTGGTGGCAGAAGACAATTTCTTTCAGTATTGTTAAATATGTATTGTTACAATATTTTTCCATGCCAGTTTCTTTTTCTTCAACTACTTTTTCTATCTATTTAGGGAAATACTAGTACAAAACTCTGATAAAGTTATTTTCTTACAGAGCATTGCTGTCACCTTGTTGACAGTATTTTCCTTCGCATTTATTTCTGTTTAACTTTATTACTCTTTTTGTTCAGCTGATTGCGCATGAACATGTTTTTGTAACATTCACTCAACCATATTTTCAAAAAAAAAACATTCACTCAACCATACAAGTATACAAAATCATGTTCATACAAATCAGTTGCGTGCTTAGAGGTATAAGCTTTGTATATGAATTTATACTTTATGACAAGCTATTGTTTTATGTGGTGGCAGAAGGCAATTAGACTTGAAAATACGTTCTTTCAAAAAACGCACTTGAATTACTTTTTTTTAACAACGTAAATCACAGAAAGTAAATGTGATTGGTGACACTTAACTGGTTTTGATAAAATAAAATGACTTTTGCGAATTTGTATATCACCATTCATTAGTTGAATCTTTAACTGGAAAAAAGTTTGTTTCAATATTTTCTCGTGCCAGTTTCGTTTTCTTCAACTACTTTTTCTATCTATTTAGAGAAATACTAGTACAAAACTCTGATAAAGTTACTTTCTTATAATTTCATCATTTTCTGACCTTGTTGACAATAATTTCCTTCACATTTATTTCTGTTAACTTTATTTCAACTTATTTCCCATGAACATATTTTTTTTTTGTAACATTCACTCAACCATACAAGAATGCAAAACCATGTCTATACAAAATCAGTATAACATGCTTGCTTAGAGGTATAAGCTTTGTATATGAATTTATACTTTATGGCAAGATATTGTTTTATGTGGTGGCAGAAGGAAATTTCTAATATTAAGATACTAACGCAAAAAGTGTTATAATTTAGTAATGATGATATCATGATAATACATATAGTATTATGCTCTTCCAAACAAAAATGCAATTTTTTTTTTCTGATAAAAAATGCAAAGCTCTGATAAAGTTACCTTTGTTACAATACATGTCGTCACTTTTATTTCACGTTTATTTCAGCTTCACTTAATTTATTACTCTTTTTCTTCCTGATTTTTTTATGGACAAGATTTTTACATTCATCCAACCATACAAGAATGCAAAGGCATGCATGTCCAAGCAAAATAAGTATAACATGCTTGTTATGAGGTATAAACTTCGTCCATTAATTTATACTTTATGCTAATATACCGCTGTTTTTTATATGGTGGCACAATGCAATTTTAAAGATTAAGATACTAACGCAAAAATGTTTTATAGTATAGTTATGTTGAAAAAATGTTGAAAGTGTTTGCCTCGATATTATTCTCTTCTCCAACTGATAAAGTTACTTTTCTTAAAAAACATTTTGTCACTTGGTTGACAATTTTTTCCTTCGCATTTATTTTTGTTTAACGTTACTACTCTTTTTATTCAGCTGATTTTGCACGAACATGGTTTTTAATTTCACAAACTATACAAGCATAAAGAACTATGTCCATGCAAAATACAAATTTAGTTAACTATAAAGGAGAAGAATAAATTAATATCATTTTGCACAAAAAAAAGTTGAATATCATATTGCTTTGACCAAAAAAAATGAGATAAGAAAAACTGGAAGATAAGTGGTTAATTTTTTACCTATATTTAGCTCTCTAAATTCATAAGCTTCTACGCATAGTCGATCCGTATTTGGTATCAATTCGCTATAAACCTGGTAACTGATTTTATTATTTGATATATATTTTGTTAGTCTCGGAATTTAATTTCGTTCACAGAACCAATGAACAAAATTAAAGAAGCTTTGAGAAAATCATACACGTATGTAAAGTATGTTCTGTTCGTTTACACGAATAACAAATGTACCGAATCATTAATTAGTTGTGATTTTCATGTCGAGCAACCCACCAAATGGATGTATAACTCATCAATACTATTAATTTAGGGTCTTATTTTTTATCTACCATCCTAAGATTGTTTTTAAATTTTGGCCTCTCATTTTAAGTTGGACGCTACACATTAATTTTGAGATTCATTAGTTAGATATAATTAAGTTTTACACGCTACTTCAATAATATATCTGGTGAACTTAAATTAAACCAACACCTTATCTACAATAACCATTGGAAACTACTCTATTAAACCAGTTTGTTAATAACTATTACAATTAAATACAGAAATTTTAATTGGACTTCATGTCACTACACATCATCGTCTTTGTTTTATTCCAAGCTCCATAGAGAAGAATAATGCAATAATCGATTTGGACATCATGTTAGTATAGAAGATTAAACCAATTACACTGATTGACGATCATGTTTATATACACTATCGTTTCTGCTTCATCTCAGGTCATTACCTGCCCACAGAAACAACTTAAATNGTCTTTGTTTTATTCCAAGCTCCATAGAGAAGAATAATGCAATAATCGATTTGGACATCATGTTAGTATAGAAGATTAAACCAATTACACTGATTGACGATCATGTTTATATACACTATCGTTTCTGCTTCATCTCAGGTCATTACCTGCCCACAGAAACAACTTAAATTATTTCATATTTTGTTCATCTTGAACGATACAAACATTACAATTTACAACAAAATAAAAATTCTAATTATGAACAAAAAATTGTCTGCATAAAAGCTTGAATCATATAGTTATCGAATTCAGTGCATAAGTGACATTACATATGATTTGTTTTTATAAATCTTTTAATGCCAGAGATTAAAAACTGACATTACATATGATTTCTTTTTATCAATCTTTTAAAGCCAGAGATTAAAAAGAAAGACATCTGTTCACATCGAATTTTTTTATTTTTGTTATTTTAAATTCTATTAATTATCTACATATAAGCCAATAAAATAGAATATTAACCTCCTTAGGAATATATATGTTAACTACTTTCATAATTTATTTCTATAGTATAGTTAGGCTATATTAATCGAGGAATGTTTTTTTCTGGGTCAATTAATTAGAAATTGCACAGTTATTTTTTTAATTTTCTTTGCCGAAATATTTAGGAAAGAATTTGCGATCTTTTAAGAATTCAGTTAATAGCCTAATTTGCAAGAACCAAAAATATTAACCCAACTCTAAATTTTGTTTACGTTTAATAAGTATCATTGTTTTTTTTATAAAATAAAGATTTATCATTTTTTCATATTTGCATTCCAAAAATCTAAATTTTTATAAACACAATATTTTAGTATTTCAAAACTACTTAATTTCAAAATTATAAATGTATGTGTTTGAAAATGTATTAAGTTCATATGTATAACGAAACTATATACAGTATTTTCAAACTGAAAGTTTACAATACTTATTTTCCATATTATAATTTATATTACCGAAATATTATATCGTTTTAATTTAAGTTTATAAATATAATTTCAAAAAAAAAATAATGATAACTTTTATATTATCAACTATGATTCAAAATTCATGTACATAATATAATTTCTTCAAAAGGTATAAAATTGTACATCAAAGTTTATAAAAAAGTATCATCAAATCATAAAATGTTGAAAACATAATGCATTAAAATAAGTACTAATCATCCCGCACACAGTGCGGGTTCAGAATCTAGTTTCTAGTTTCTAGTTACAATTCATCTGGGTTCCAACGGTAATAGATTTGACATATATATTATTATATCTTTTATTGATGTAATATAATGAAGGGTTTGTGAATCTGTGATAGTGACATATCACTGAACACGGTATTTGGTTAGAACTCACTTGTCTACCAGTCTTCATCACACGATTCACCAGCAAACACATTCTCTCCTTAACTCCACCGTCCACATTTCCCCAGTCTCCAAAATATATTTTCATCCCTATAAATAAACCTCTTAACCTTCTCCTTCTCACCCATCACACAATCCTCTCAAACCAGAGAAAAGAAAAAACCATAGCATTCTAAGAATCTTCAAGAAAAATGGCGAATACACAGATTATTCCACAACAAGTAACCAACGACGACGACGAACAACTGGCTCTCTACGCCATGCAGCTAGCCAGCGCCTCCGTTCTTCCGATGGTTTTAAAAACGGCGTTAGACCTCGATCTTCTCGAGATCATCAAGAAGTCTTCTCCGATTTCTTCGAATGACATTGCTTCTCAACTTTCGACCACAAATACCAACGCTCCGGCCATGCTCGACCGTATTCTCCGTCTTCTTACGTCTCACTCCATCCTCATCTGCTCCAGCGGAGAGGGCGTCGAGAAGACTTACCAGCTTGGCCCGGTTTGCAAGTATTTGACCAAGAACGAAGACGGTGTCTCGTTTGCTGCTCTTTGTCGTATGAACCAAGACGAGGTTCTCATGAAAAGCTGGTAAGTATTTTGATATTATCAAGAATTATTATCATATGATTTCAAAACATCTTGTGCTAACCCAATTTTTTTAAAACTAGTATTTATTATTGATAATGTTGTTTCATAATTAAGCTACGCTTCCTGGTTATCATCATATGCAATTGTTGAAACTTAAGCAGATAAATTAATGATCTTTTTTCTTTTACACTTATGTATACCTGCTGCCCACTAAAGAAATTATATTTAGTGGTTATACGAGCTCCATAGTTGAATTTTCTTCTTTTTTTTTTTGTTACTGTGCCAAAATCATACAATCTAAAGAATAATATTTAAAATGAAATATTTTAGTTGATCCCTAGAGCTAGAGAAAAAAAAAATTCTCTGGATATTACCAAAAAAATACTATTATATGATTTCGGTAGATCTTGTGCTAAGATAGATAAACCTAGTTAGAAAAAAAACTATTCTTTATAATTGATAATGTTGTTTCTTACTCATGCCAACGAAACTTGTTTCAGGTACTATTTGAAAGATGCAATTCGTAAAGATGGCATTCCATTCAACATGGCTTATGGAAAGAGCTCTTTCGAGTACTACACGAACGACTTTAACTTCAACACGGTCTTCAACAATGGAATGTATAATCATTCAACCATCACCATGAAGAAGATTCTGGAGACCTATCAGGGTTTTGAGGGATTGACTTCTTTGGTTGATGTTGGTGGTGGCACTGGTGCTGCTCTCAAAATGATTCTCTCTAAATACCCTGACCTTGAGGGCATCAACTTTGATCTCAAAGATGTCATCAAAGGAGCTAGTTATCATCCCCGTATATTACATTTTCCTAACACTTAATTTACACACAAAATTCTGCTTTTCATTTACATATGTTTGAGAGGTTGTATTAATTGTTAAATTTTAACACAGATATCAAAAATGAAGGAGGAGATATGTTTGAAGGAGTCCCTAAAGGTGATGCAATTTTCATGAAGGTCAGTAATTTGCAATTACCAAAACTACTATACCGAAAACTGACTCTTTAATATTGTAAATAATTCATCAGTAGGAAATGTATCTCAAAGCATTTTCCTTCGATTTGTCTCATTCCTGTAACAGTGGATATGCCACGACTGGAGCGACGAAAAGTGCGTGGAACTCTTGTTGAACTGCTACAAGGCGCTTCCAAAGGATGGAAAAGTAATATTAGCAGAGTTTCTACTTCCGGAGACAATAGACACAAGCCTCTCGACCCAACAAGTTGTCCATGTCGATTGCATTATGATGGCTCACAATCCTGGAGGTAAAGAACGGACCGAGAAAGAGTTCGAGGAATTAGCTAATAAATCAGGCTTCAAAGGCATCAAAGTTGTTTGCAACGCTTTCGGGATTTACATTATTGAGTTGCTCAAGAAGATCGACTAAAATCACACACACCAAAGTTCATTTCATGAAGAGTTTATCCTCTCATGTCTATCTCTAGTTCACCACCTTACCTTATGATGCTTAATAATGGTTTACTAGCTAAGAGACTCATCTAGAGTTTCATTTATCTGATTATTAATGTGTGAAAAAAAATTATGTGTTTGAAGAAAAATATTAAGATTGAATCAAGTAAAAAATCTTATCTTGATACACTGATACAATCAATCAACTTTCAAACACCATCCACGTTGACTATGTTCGTTCACCGACCAAACTAGTTTCATTGAACTCACACTTCTCTTATGACTACTTTCTAGACTCTTCTAGCTTTTCTTCTCGTCTCCGGTTATATATATAAACTACAAGAAGTTTGTTTCAATATTTTCCCTTGCAAACCCAAAAGCCAATTTCTTTTTCTTCAACAACTTTTTCTATCTAGTTAGGGAAATACAGGAACAAAACTCTGGTAAAGTTACTTTCTTACAAAATATTTCATCACCTTGTTTAACTTTGTTACTCTTTTTGTTCAGCTGATTTTGTTCAGCTCAACCATACAAGAATGCAAAACCATGTCCATGCAAAATAAGTATATCATGTTTGCTTAGAGGGGTATAAACTTTGTATATGAATTTATACTTTCTGGCATTGTTTTATGTGGTGGCAGAAGGCAATTTCAAATATTAAGATATCAACGCAAAATTCTTGTAATTTAGTTATGATGATAATATATATAGAATTATACTCTTCCAAACAAAAATGCAATTTCTTTTTGTTTATATACACTTTCTGTATACTTGGAAAAATAGTAGAGCAAAGCTCTCATAATTTTTTTTTCTTTCTAAAATGTAAATGTCATTCAAGGAATAAAGGTTCAGTTACAATAATAATTGAACCAGAATCTGATTTGAACCTAAGCTCTGATAAAGTTACTATGGTTACAATACATTTCGTCACGTGTTATAAATCAGAGAGAATTGTAAAGGAAAATTGCTTATGTCATTATTATTGATCACAAGGCTCTATATATATATGGGTTATAAGAGATAGATAAATGGAAATTACATAAATCCTAATCCAACTAGGAATATGAAAACTACTAATACATAGGAAAGAAAATAAGGCCTAATGGCCGCCTATGTATTTCTCGGATTGGGCCTATGATCTAAGCTATGGTTATGGCCATCCACTATAAGGATTATGACACTCTCCCTTGGATGTCATAACCATTAAGAGTTTGTAATACGCTTTGGATGTTGCCTCATTAAAACATTTCCAGGAAAACCCAAACCAATAGGGAAAAAGAAATAAAACCATAGAGTGGAAAAAGAATACAACATGTATACTCCCCCTGATTTGAACCTCACTTGCTGAATAGATCTTCTGAATTGTTGCTTGAACAATCTTGTAATGCTTCAAACTTCTTCGTTAATATAAGGACAACTCATGAATCTTTGCTATCTACCATTCTATGCTTTGGTCGGATGTGTGTTCCTCGACCAGTCCATGTACGTTAGCTCCACTAGTGGTTTTACTCATATGGACTTTTAACTTGCGGCCAATCATCACTCACATATCCGTTCATGTCTCACGGACCCTTTAGATTTGATGGGTTTGGACATACTACAAATACTTTGAATATGTTGAGTCTTTCGACTCAAGTACATACGGACTATTTGGCTTCTTTGTGCTTATGGTCATGCCTTAGTCCACATGGACACAATGTTCTTCTTTTGCCATTGACCATGCCGGATTCTGATCAAGTTAGGTCATGGTCGTCGACCAAACATACTTTTGGTCACTCTCTTCGGCCATTATGGTCCTTCTTTGCCCACTGATACACACTTAATGACCCATACTTACATTGCAGTCCGATATGTGAAACTTGTTAGCCAAAATATATCAGTCCATACTTATATTTTGATGGCACCTCATGACCTTCCTTGCCGTGGACCATACCACGCACTGAAACCTACATGTTAGGTCATGGACCTTGTCCACATATGCCCAGAACTTGCCCATAACGTCATTGCAACCACATAATCTATTCCTGGTCTATTGTGAGAATCTTTGTGCAATAAGCCGTGCTTTATGTCTCACGATTTACTTTCCCTCACAAGACCCATTTGTCCACTGGTTTCTATTAACAGACGGCGTTTCTATATATATGGCCAATACGCCTATCTCTTCTAACGATTTACTCAAGGTTTTACGTAAAACAAACCTTTTACGGTTTTTATCGTAAAACTCCAACGGTAAGACGGATTGAGACGAAACGAAGGATGTTCCGATCACGGTTAAGAGCACGATCAAGTCAAGAGGTACAGACGGTCAAGTTCAGCTTGCCTGTTGGCGAGCTGGACGGTTGCTTGATTTCTATCTTTTCTCGTTTTCTCGACCCGAGATCCTTTCAGAGAATGTAAGGAGAAGTGTTCGTAGACGTTGATTTCGATCTTAACAATAGTTTAATATCTCATGGAGTTTGGATGTTATGGACGTTTTTCATTAATTTGGCCAATAAACCAATCGTGGATTGTTTTATTCGATTTGCCGATGATTTCCAAGATAACGATTGTCACGTTTAAGGAATTGCTTTGTTCATAGAATCCTTAGATTTCTTCTGGACGCTTTTTCGTATTTTTAAAACCTATTCTTAACTTTGTGGAAAGTTTTGGTCGTTGGTATTTCATACCTTAATACGAGTTTTCCGTAACTTCGTATCTCCGTAAAAAGTCTATAGTTTCTTGTACGCTTTTTCCGGGACTTTTAGCCATTGATTCTGTCGTGACCGATTTTGACCCAACAGTTAGCCCCATAGCTCATTAGAACCTTGAGCTTCTAGCGGGAGGTTCTAGCGAGTGATTGGACAATTTCAGGCAAGTTATGCAAGTTAGGTGGAACTTATGGTTGAAAAGTTCCGTTGAAAGTGGTCTTCCCACTCTCATTGGAATGGAAAGCGGTAGGATTGGGGCTGCGCCTAGTGAAGGCTGCTTACGTACCCTTTTGAAGGGATCAAGCCTTTCATAGTTCGTTTTAGAGTTAAGGTTCGTACAACCTGTTTTCCAATTAGACCTTTATAGTCTCGTTATGCGTAGATATTATCGAACATGGCGGTATTGATGATGTTTTGTATCAGCCTCGAGACTTGCCTCGTTGGGTGTTTGCTTCGACCAAGTGTGGCTATTATATTTTTAGACTGGCCGTATGCAGCTTCGAATCCGTGCCGCTTTGCAGCCGTCTTTAAAATTTTGCTTTGCGTTTTAAGAGCAAGTTTGTATTCGTATGAATGTGGAGGGAAGAATATGAGTTGTCATCTCATAGTCTAACTCTTTTTTGCTGATCGCCCTATTCGTTTGCTCGTTTTAGGATGTTTAGAATCTCGTGAGCGTTTAGATATGGACGAAGAGACATGCCTTTAGGATCTCATTTCATGCCTTGAGACGTTAGAGACCAGTGTGTTGGGTTTAGGGTAAGACCTAGGTTTACTTTTGGTTTAAGGCTTTGCGATGACTAATCGGTGTTCGTTTTACCTGTTGCGATTTTAACCAGATTCCCTACCAATATAATGTCGCGATAGGTTCTCGGCTTATACAACTTGTCTGGTCGGAATCGAGCATCCCCGAAGGTGCTGACCAAAATTTGGATTTTTTATAGCGCTATTATCCTTGTGTTGGGTGTATGAGAGCTATCTCTGCGAGATAACTTAAGTTTGTTTAGGACTGTTAAGAGTTTGTTGTGATCAGCAACAAACTTTAATGGTAGATGTTACCGTTTCTTGGACCTTCGCGAAAGATACGTATCTTATGAAATTTTGTATGTTTTATAGTCGCGGATGGACTGTTGGGTCTTCTAAGAAAATGATTTTATCGAGGAAGGTATTTATTTCTATCGAAAAAACTGTTCTTCAGGCGTCTGCGACGTCTCGCAATGCCGAGGATTGATTTTTATTTCATATGTCGCATTTCGTGTTGGAAACGTTTGCGGGCTCGAAGATGTTGCGTGGTGTTGCAAGGGTTTTGTCTTAACCCAGCTTTGAAGGAACACTTTGATTTGCTTGTGAATATTCACAGCCAAAACTTATGTTCATGTTTGGATGTTAAGTAGTTTGATTCATGCTAGAGTAGTTAGGACGGAGGGGTCGCGTAAATTGTTTCCTAAAACGAAGCGTCTTCAATTACAGTGCTTTGTGAAGTGTTGACCTTCCGAGATCTTTTTCATATATCTTAAGAATAACTCGTCCGGCTTCAGGAGCTTTGTTACGAGTGTTTTCTTACACGTCGGATTTTTTAGGCAACTTGCTTCGGAAATAGAGTTAATTGCGAGAATGTAGAGCTTAGTCAATTTTTGACAAGTTTACATTGTCCGTTGAATGTTTTGGCTTGACGTAAAGGTTGTATTCAGCCGCATAGCCAAGGAAGTAGTTGGTAAAGGATTAGACCATGACACCTTCGTGCTATCAATAAGGTCGAGTTGGTTTGGATCGCCCTTAAAGGGGATGCTGTAACCTAGATCGGCATCGAAGTGAAACGTGATTGGATAATGGCCAAGTACCGTTTGTCGAGATTAATATGCCAAGTGTGTCCATGGTCGTAGAGAACATTTTTCCGTTTTAGGTTTGATTTATACGATGAAAGTTTCGTTTAATCTTTCCTTTGTTTGTATGAAAGTTGGTTCTTTTTTACCTGAGGGAGACAGAACCTAAGAAGCTTGATGCAGAGCCCGTGCGGATTCGGTTGCAGGGTGGTTTCATTCTCGGATGAAATTGAGAGGAATGAGAGCGGATGCTCGTGAACAGCATGGGTAAAGAACGAGATCTTTCAGATCGTGGTGCGAGGAAACAAAGTTTAGATTGGTCGTTTAGTGTCGGATAGTATAGCTTGGGCTTTGCTTTAAGGAAATTACTTTTTTCGTAAAATATGTTACGTTTACTTTCGAATGTTACTTTGTTATGACATGATCCTGACTATTCGAAAGATTTTTTGCATAAGTAACGGGCGATGAATTTAGTAAATCGACACGACGCATGGGGATAACAATGTTTCCTCAGATTTTCGAGAAACATTTCCGCTTTGTTTTTGATTCTTCGGTGATAGTTTCTAAAAGCCACTCACGGAGTTTTACCAAAGGTTATTTGACTGAGATCTAGTCGAGAAACTTTTTAGCTGGTATCTTAAGCGGGATAGGATCACTTGACCAGCAATAG